TTTTCAACAAATGGTCTTACCTAAAAACAAAATAAATAAAAAATTAAAACCTTTCATCTACTACGGAAGATAACTCATCCCTTAGTCTTTTCTTTTCCTGGCCAATTAAACCAATTATTTTAACTTTTCTCATAAAATAAGGCAAAATAAAATAGGAGTGATATTAGCACTTCCCGTAAGGTTGCTGTGAGAGTTTAAGTAACACATGTGCCACATGCCAAGAACAGCACCCCGCACATTGTACACACTTCCCAAATGTTAACTATTATTATTATTACTGTTATTATTAATAGCCTTATGGAAAAGCTGGTTTTTCCACTGAACATTTGGGCGAGGGGATTATTGAGTTAGATCAATAGTTGGGGAACTTTGTTTAATAACCTGTTTGAGCACCAGATTATTTTGAGAATCTGAGGCTTTCTGAGGAAACACCTCCCAGAGGAACACAGATAGTCCATGCGCGTATGCACACATCTTTTGCATTGCATACATCTCACCTCAGCTTTAGGGCATTTATAGGCCTCTGAGGCCAAGGCTTGGGGCCCAGGTCCACAACCTCAGAAACCATCGCTCACTGAAGGCCCTTCTAGTCCTGAAGTCTGTGGGTCTCTGGGAACAGCCAGGCACCCCGCAGTGTACTACTGGAGGGCCCCCGCTATGCTTGCTTTGGAGTTTTACCATAAGTCAGCAGCTATTTTTAGTTTGGCTATATATGGCCAGGGGAGTAAAGGGCTATAGGCAGGGGGAGGGTGCCAAGAGGCTTACAGCAGGCTTAGGGGGCCAGACCCCCTGTGCCTGTACCACCGTCCCCTTCCCACCAGACCACGGGAGGGCTCACCCTCCAGCCAGAGAGACACTTTAGAATCATAATTTTCAAACTTTCTGACCACGATACAAAAGTTTAGTAAGAAATAAAGTTGCTATTATAATACACACATAAACGCTAATGTTGTTAAACACTGAGTGGCCAGATTATTATGACCGGCCAGATTATTATGACCACCCCATCAGTACTTCATTGACACTTCCAAAAATACTGAATATTAAAACTTCATAAGCAAATACTCTCAAGGTTTCATTATTATTATTATTTGCATAACTAATTCACTTCACACACACACACATACATACACACACACTCTGTCTCCAACTGAACCAATATTTTAGGAAACAATACTTTATCTTATTCTCCATGAAACATTGTGATGTTTTCTATTCTATTCTTTCCTTAGAAAAAATGCAGGTCATGACCCACTGTGCCACCTGTTCATGGATTGACACCTCCAGTTTGGAAGAGTGCAGTTTTCTTCGGTTTACAGCAGACACCTATACCATTTGACTGCCAGGTAAGGTGGGGAGTGGAGGAAATGGGGCACATGGTCCCTTTGATCACGACATCTCAGAACTTCAGAGAAGATGCAAGTTTCAGCTCAGTCTCCGGCTGGACAGCAAGTTGTGGACCTCCTGGCTTTGTACCCTTTCTCTCCACCTGGAGCACTCGTCCTCCACCCTTGTCACCTGGCTGACTCCATTCATAGGAGCCTGGCTTGCCACTTACTCCAGGAAGCCTCCCTTAATGCCTGTCTGGTTAGCTGCCTGCCTCTGGCTCCCTTAGTCCCCGGTGGGTACTCCCCTGCCTGGTAGCCAACACACTTAGTACAATTTCATGTTAGATTCTCTGGGAGGCAGGTACCTTTTTCATTCTGTTAATTTCTCTACTCTACCCCCACCACCCAGTGTAGTGTAGTGCTGGCTAAATAAAAATCACTCAATACATTTTTATTGAATGAATTAATGATAGTTAATAGTAATAATAGCAACTACCATTTATTTATTTATTTTTTATTCCTCACCCGAGGATGTTTTTTCCATTGATTTGTTTTTAGAGAGAGAGGAGGGGAGGGAGGAGGGAGAGAGAGAGAGAGGAGAGAGAGAGAAAAACATCGATGTGAAAGAGACGCATTGATTGGTTATCTCCCACACACACCCAGGTCTGGGCTGGGGATTGAGCCTGCCACTGAGGTATGTGCCCTTAACCAGGAATCAAACCCGTGGACCCTTCAGTCTGCAGGCTGACACTCTAACCACTAAGAAAACCAACCAGGGCAGCAGCTACCATTTATTGAGTGCCCATTTATCCCATGAGAAGTCTTAGTAGAGATTAGGATAAACTCATTTTATGGATGAGGAAACTAAGGCTCTAAGAGATTATAGAATTCGATGGAGCCAGGATGTGTGATAACCCAGGGCCACCCGACTCCCAGCCTTCCTAAGCACAGGATCTTAATTGTCCACATTCCGCCCAGCACTACCCAGAATGGGGCAAAGGGCAGGTCCTTAACAAACCCTCGGGGAACCGATGACAGGTTGATTAAAGAGATTTTCCAAAGCAGTGGCCACATCTAATTTTGGAGAGTTGCACCTCGTGTGTGGCTTGGGAGAGAGGATCTGTGAGGTTTCTAGGCTGCCTGAAAGTGGGGTTCTCTCATTTGGGAAAAGAGGCTGGACCAGGTCTTCTGGTCACCTGACTACACCTCGGATAATACCCAGGCCCCTGCAAAGCCTCCTTGATCTGGCCCCTGCCCACATCTCCGGGCCGCCGCTGCCTGCTCCCCTCAGTCACTCTGTTCCTGACAGCCTGGCGCTCTTGCTGTTCCTCAAGCACCCCAAGCCCAGTCCTGCCTCAGGGCCTTTGCAAGGGCCACTCCTGCTGCGGGGAAGTCTTCACTCTAGAACTCTCCATCCTGCTTCTCAGACTACCCTATCCAAAACATCACCCTCTTCCTTCTTTGCCTTTTTTCTCATAACACTCGCAACTTCTGGAAATTACATGTGTTTTCCAGTTTATTTCTGTCTTCATGAGACAGGAAACTTCCTGAGGACTTTGCTTGTTCACTGCCCCAGCCCCTGGAGCTCGTGTAGGATGGTGCCTGGCATATAGATGATGCTCTATAATATTGGTTGCATGAATAAATGAGCACCCCCCCCCTCGCTCACTTTAGACATATCAGGAGATCAACCTATAGCTTCCCCAAAATATGTGTCCCTGTGACTCACATCCAGGCCCCAATCACACACACCTTGGTTTGCAAGGGGAAAGAGAAGAAACATTTGACACCCATGCACTGTGCACCACTTTGCAACAGGAATTGGTACCTGACAAGCACTCAAGGGTTATCTCCGTCTTACAGCCAGAGAAACTGAGGCCTGCTCTCTGCTTGTCCCTAGTGCTTAGCATAGTATTGGGCACAAACATCTAGTGAATTGCATTGCACTGAATTGCAGAAGTTCAGCAACAGCTCACGGTCACTGAATTAGGAAGTGTGGTACACAGAATTAGAAAGTGTGGTACCAGAATTTGTCCTCAGTGCTGTCCAGTTCCAGCCAGTGCTGTGCCTCCGCCATGGCACACATAGAAACTCCAGGGATATAACCTCGTTAACATCCAGACACTTTCGAGGGTGGACCCTCGCCAGATACCCACGACTGGCAGCCCAGTCAGCCCATCCTGCACCGGGGGCCACTCTCTCTACATGCCCAAGGGCCTCAGCTTGAGCAAACCCTGGGCTGACTGTGTCCTTCCTGCCCCCTGCTCCAATGTCCTCTGGCGCCAAATATGTGTTTTTTTCAATGAGCCATAGCTTTGAGTTATCTGTGTCAGCGCCTCTCCCCAACAGGGCACGTGAGGGAGGCATAGAATGACCCTGGGCTGGAAGGACCCTGAATGAACACTTACAGCGGGAGCCAGCAAACTTTTCCTGTCGTCGAACAGTAAATCTTTTAGGCTTTTGAGCCAAGAGACAAAATTGAGGATGTCATGTAGGGACTTTCATATCATTTTCACAAACAGTGTTGTTCTTTTGATTTTTTCCCCCAAACATTTCAAAATGTAAAATTACTGCCGGCTGCCAGGCTGCAAAAAGCAGGCAGCAGGCCAGTTTGGCCTGCTCTCTAAAGTTTGCAAGCCCCTGTTTTAAAGCAGTACTCCTTAAGCTTTAACATGTGTAAGAATTGCTGGATGAGCTTAAAATAGATGTCTGGGTTGACCCTCAGATTCAGATTTAGCAGGTCTAGGGGGGACCCCTAAATTTGCATTTATTTCTGATGCTACCTGTCCACTGACTACATTTTGAGTACTTATTTGAAAATACCCCATTTTATGGATGAGGAAACTGAGGCTCAGATAAGTGATATGTTCAAAGTTACCCCCAGTGGAGGAGGTGATGATATCTATTCTGCCAATTCCCAGGGCTGTTTTGCCACAGAAAATTCCTCTCCATTTCCTGAACCCACTGAGTTCTCTCCTGCTTCTGAGCTTTTTACTTATTTTTCTCTCTCCCACTCCCGCCCTCACAAATGCAATTTCCCCATCAAGATCCAACTCACATGTCCCCTCTTCTAAAGCATCCTTCTCTTTACTGCCACAGCACTCTGTACATACTTGTATATAATGGTTTGTCTACAAGCTTATCTTTGAAGCCTTGGGCTGTCTCTTATTCCTCTTTATGTCCCTTTACAAGGCTTGCAAATAGGAAGTATCACAGAAATATGCACCGAACAAAAGAATGCATGCATAGATGGGTGGATGGGTGGATGAATGAATGAATATTTTATGATCTATTCCTTGAAAATCATTTTCTTGGCAAAGTTGAGCCTAGACCCCAATTCTCCTAGAGCACAAGCTAGAGTCTATTCCACAGTTGATGGAAAACCTAGCGTGTGAACAGCAGCAGTTACATCTTAATGAATGTGTGTTGGGTGTGTGTTTATATGGCAGGCCTTTACTAAGCACTCCTGCCAGTCCTCTCCATAGGCCTTGATTGGCCCCACCTTTCCTAACAAGAGAATGGGTCCTGGAGAGGTAGTTTGCCTGAAGTCACACGGTAAATAACTCCCTGGCCCCTCTGCTTCTGTGTCAGGCGTGCCCCTTGCTCCTCCGCCTCCACCAGTGCTCCTCACCACCTGGGCCCTACCCCCGCTGCGGCCCCTGCTGGGCTCACCTCCGTCTGCATAGGTCTCAGTGCCGTAGCCGTCCTGCAGGCCGTTGTTCCAAGTGCCCTCGTACTTGGCTCCACTGCTGCTGCTCTGCCGGGTTCCATAGCGTCCCTTGAAGCCGTGTGTCCACTCGCCCTTGTAGAGCCAGCGTCCCTTGGTCTCTATGCCCAGCCCATGCCGTTTGCCCTGGCTCCAGTATCCCTCGAAGGTGTTGCCGCTGGGCCAGGTGTAGACGCCCGCCACTTCAAAGCCAAAGTTCCAGGAGCCCGAGTACTCGCCCTGGCCCTTGGGGCCTGTGCACAGCCCGTGCCCATGGGCCTTTCCATTCTCCCAGCCTCCACAGTACGCCCCGCCATCGTCAAAGTCAAAGCGGCCCCCACTCATCTCATCATAGCCCCCGACAACCTGACTGTCCTCCAGCTTGGGGGTCGAGGGCGATGGGGGTGCCAGCGGCACGCTCCCTGCTTGCTCAGGGCCGGGCCCCCCACTCACCACCGCCGCACCCCAGCAGGGGGAAAGCAAGATGCCACCAGAGGCTGAGTGAGCCCAGGAGCCAAGTCAGCACTGGGTGGGCTGGTCAGTGCCATGCCTGGGAGGCCCCTCTCAGTCAGCCAGAGGAAGGCTGCCAGTTGGGAAGGAAGCAGGAAGGAGAGATTCAAAGCCTCCACAGAGCATCCCGAGTCTGGCTTCCATGGAGTCAAAGGAAAAACGCTGTGATCCCTTTAAGAAGCACAGCGAAAGGGTGGGGTGGCGGGGTCCCCAGTCCGTCTCAAAGAGGGAAATTCCCCTCGGTGACCGTCCCAGCCCCCAGGCTGAATTCCTGCAGCCCGCTGGCCCCTTCTCCTCCACCCGTGGGTGTGGGGTGTGCGGGGCTGTCGATCTCCTCCAGGCTGCCCCGCCCCTGTCCAATCCTGCCCTCCTCCCGGGACAGAAAGGTCAGTGTTGCCCTAACAAGGCCATTGGATCTCAGAAGCTGCTCCCAAAATAACCCCCTGGCCAGCCCAGCCTCCTTCAAAGTGGGAGGGGTGTTTCAGATCGGGCTGGTGCTTCAGACCCTGGGAGTGGCTGGAGGGATGAGGAAGGGAAGCTGAGAACAAAGTGTAGGCAGCTGGGGCGATCTGATGGCTCCTCTTCCCCTGGGTAAGAGCTCTCTTCCACCTCAGGGTTCCCAGAGTCTGTGGGAGCGAGCGGGCGGAGGAACTGGGAAGGGAGGGGAGGGAGACTAGCAGAACACCCTGTGCTGGCACACTCAGAACCCCCCAGAGCAAATCTCAGCCCCACCGCCACTCACATGCCCTCACAGGTCCTGGGGCTACGGCACCACTGCCAACCCCAAAAAAGGAATCTAGTGACTACAGAGAAAGGAATGGGGCCTGGTTTCACAGATGCTTTTGAAAGCAGAGAAGTGAGGGTCTAGAAGCGGAGTCTTGGAGCTGCAGCAGATCTGGGTCCAGAGCTCATGCACAACCCGAATTCCCCCCAACCCAGGAACTCTGAGAAAACCCGGGGGGAACCAGCGCAAAGGCTCGGATCACTCCCGTTCTCTCCTGCGGGGTAAATACCTCCTCTGAAGGGCGAGGAGTCTGTCTGTCCTCCATCTCTGAGACAGAGTTGCCAGTTGTATTAGAAGGAGTTCATCTCAGAAACACTCAAGGATCATGATGATTTTTTTTTTTTTTTAATTCTCTTTCCAAGTTCTTCTGCTCTGGTGTCCTAAGAGCCGGTGAAGCCAGACTTCATAAAGTTCCTGGGGCAGGTCAGGTTCCCAAGCTCCAGCGAAAGGGACACATAAATCTCCATGACATGAAGCTGTGGCCGGGGCTAATGACTGGAAATCCCAACTGAGCCCAGGGTTAACAGGAGCATGGAGTAACCCCGAGGAAGGTGGGAACCACCAAAGAGAGGGAGAGAGAGAGAGAGGGAGAGAAAGAGAGAAGAGTAAGAGAAAGAGATGGGGGAGGGGAGGATAGAGACCATTAAGAAAGCAAGCACAGGAAGTCTCTGAGAACATTACACGATTATCTGATTTCAAACTTATCATACCCAAATTGCAGGATGACTTAGGCCACTTAAAATCACGGCAGAAGTTTTGTTCATTTCAGAAACGGATAGAAAATGTTTTCTTCCTCCCTCCCAGCTGATTCCTAGTTCTTAAGACTTGGCTCCTTCATCGTTCACAGCCCCCTGCCTTGAAGGGCCCCTTCCGTGTCCACGTTTCACCCCCAAGTAGAAACACCCAGCCCCCGCGCACGCACTATCACTGGCTGTTTGCCAAGCTGACAGCGAGTAGCAGTAGATAAAGACGGTATCATCTGGGTTTTGTCTCGCCACCCGGCCAGGCTGACTGACAGCCTGCGTGCACACTTCGCTAAGAACAACACCTCAATGCTGTCCCCAGAGAGTTCTGCTCCTGCCACTTCTCACCTAAGTCCCTGGAGAATCCCCCCTTTCTTTCTAGCTCTGCTCTCCAGGGGAGGGGAAAGGACATCTTACACTGGAAGCCTTTTGTAGTTAAATGCTGAGCAAATCACCATAATACTGTTCTAAGGCTGCCCGGCTGCTGTGTCCTAGAGGACTGTTCACCTACATAAATTTAGCCAGTTCCCCCATGCGGCTCCCTACAGTGGTTCCCTACCAAGGGCCTGTACACATAACAGTCACCAGTAGAACTTAAAAGACACAAACAGATTCCAGACTGCCCCCACCCCCACCCTCACCCCCACCCGCAACCTACTGAATTCAATTGTCCTGGGTGGAGGCCAGGACAGTTAAATTCTTTTTAAAAGATCAGACGAATCTGACTCTCATTCCTGGTTAAGAACCACTGTAATGTCAAATTAAGAAACTGTTTCTTAATATAACATTTACATATTCATGAATCTACTTACTTAACATAGGCTATGTATGTTACCAAACTCAAGGGGTTCACTGCTTTGGGGTACTTTATTCAAAAATGAGACATGGTTGTCCCAAAGTAGTTTTGTTTACTTGCAGCAAGTAAAGAAGATGAGGATTTATAACCAAAGCTCTGTCTCCTGGAAGGGAGGGTTAGCCATTGCTTAATACACTATGTGGTCACTTCCATGTTGTTATTTGATGTTTGTGTGGGGTTTTTTTGCAGTTGGCTACTTTCATCCCCTTGAAGTTCTTGTCACCTCATCCTGTTTACTGTTACATCTGCAAAATACTGTGCTACATTTTAACATTAAGCAAGAGATAACATTTAGTAAGAATGGCCCAAACCTTGAGACCCTTGTCCTATCTAACACTTGGGGTAAATAATTGTGGAGTTAGATATCTGTTCAAATCCCAAGCTGTGTGACCTTGAACCAATTGTTAATTTCTGTAAGCCACAAATTCTTCACCTGCAAAAGTACCTTTCTCAAAGGGTTATTAATATTAAGGCTAACAGTATCTACCTTATATGGCTGGGTAAAGATTATATGACTTAATACTATTTTAAAAAAGACTGAGAACACACTACACAACTAATAAACTTTAGCTATTATTAATATTATCTTCACCTGATGTTACTTTCAAACTATTATGCTTAATAAAATAGTCACCAGAGGGAAGCGATCACTCCCTAAATATTAAGTACAGTGAAGTACTCCTTACTCTTCCCAGTATGTGTTCACTCAACCTTACTCTGTGGTTTTTTCATTTTTAAACTGATAAACTATGTCACTGTTAAAGGGACACTTTGACTTCTTAAAAGTTTAAGTAAATTCTTTGCCAAATTTGCTGCTGGCCTTACCGGGACCAGGTTGAGCTTCTTGACCCCGCCATCACTTTTTGGCCCCGCCCTTTAAACCAATACGGTTCAGGGAAAGGGAGACCTCTTGTGGCCAGAGGTGCATTAAAACAGATTTTCCTTAGGAAAAGGAAGTTCTTTCCACCAAATGGAATTTACTAAAACTTGGAGTGAATTTAAACTGTTTTAAAAAGTATCTATCTCATTCCTCTTTTTCCCAGGTCTTTTCTTGCTCTGTGGTTCTTTGGTCAGATAGGGTAGTCACCGTGTCCTATGTTTCCTTCTCAACTTAAGCATGACTGCTGACTGGTTCCTTATCTCCTGAGTCCAAGACTTTATAATGGAGAGAAGGGAACTGAAAATCCAGAACAGAGAGGACCGCACATGGAAACCCACCTGAGTTCTCAGCGCTGAAGACTCAGCCGAAGAAGCCTCATCTCCCCAGACAAGGCTCCTGGCTGGTTAGGTAACTTCCCATGCTGGCTCCTCCCCGCAACTGGGAGGTGTTTTGAAGCAAGGATTATCTTCATTCCAAAACAAAGCACGAACACCTACTCTGTGCCCGGCACTCTGGCTCATCTTTGTATGCCCTTGCCTGCACATAGTGGGTTCCCCTAATCTCTCTTTCTCCTTAGCATTTGGCAGCTGACAGCCCCCTTCTTAAAATGCTTTTTCATTTGACCTCTAGAACTCCTCTCTTGGTTCTATTCCTGCTGATACTACTCAGTTTTTTGCTGGTTCCTCCTCATTCCCCTGCCCTCTATACCCTGAGAATGTCCCAGAGCTTGGTCCTTGAGCTGATTATCTACATTTGCTTCCGAGGTGATCTCCTTCAGGCTCATAGTTTAAATATAAGCATCCTGACTCTATCTCCAGCCTGAACCCTCTCCTATCTTCACTCATATATCCAACCCCAACTTAACAGCTCTACAAGATGTCATAAGCATCTCAGACTTAATGAAATCAAAACCAAATTCCCAATTTCTTCTCCCAGACCTGCTCTCCAGGTTATTAAAACCATTGGAATCACCCTTAATTCCAATCTGTCTCTCACACCTGATGTCCATTAGCAAATCACTTCAGCTCTACCTTCAAAGTGATTTCAGAACAGCTCTCTCCTGTACTGCCAAGTGCCCAGGCCACTGGAAACTATTGCCTGATTTACTGCAATAGCCTCCTAACTGCTCTCCTTGTTTCCTTCCCCTGCTCCCCCTAGTCCAGTGGTCGGCAAACTCATTAGTCAACAGAGCCAAATATCAACAGTACTTCTTCAAAATAGACTCGCCCAGGCCGAAAACCAACTTCTGTGCATGGGCCACGAAGTTTCAATCGCACTGTACGTGCGCCCGCACGTGGTATTTTGTTGAAGAGCCACACTCAAGGGGCCAAAAAGCCGCCTGTGGCTCTCGAGCCGCAGTTTGCTGACCACGGCCCTAGTCCACACACAGCAGCCAGTGCTCTTTTAAAAGGCCAGGTCTTTGTGGCTCAATCCCCAATGTGGGGCGTGCAGGAGGCAGCCCATAAATGATTTGATGTTTCTATTTCTCTCTCCCTCTCCCTTCCTCTCTGAAATCCATTAAAAAAAAAAAAAAAAAGCCCAGCCAGCGTGCTCAATGGTTGAGCATCGACTTATGAACTAGGTCACAGTTTGATTCCTGGTCAGGGCATATGCCGGGGTTGTGGGCTCGATCCCCAGTGCGGGGCATGCATCATCATTGATGTTTCTCTCACTCCCTCTCTGAAATCAATTAAAAAAAAATATTTTTTTAAAAGGCCATGTCTGATATGTCTCTTCTCCAAACCCAAATGGTTCCTTATCTCCTCCTGAGTTGAAGCCTTTATAATGGCCTAAAAGGTCCTCCATGAACTGCCCCTGCCCTCTGCCTCTGTGACCTCGCCTGCCTCAAGACAGATATTCTTGCTGTTCCTCTAAACACCCACATGGCTCGCTCCCTCACTTTCTTCAGGTCTCAGCTCAGATGTCACCTTATCAGAGGCTTATCTGATCACCCCAAATAAAATATCAGCCCCTCCCCCTGCCCAGCCCTGATTATCCCCAATCCTCTCTCCACAGCACTTTCTCTGAGGACAAGGATAAGTTCTGCTTATTGTTCTATTCCTAGTATAGTGTTTCTGGTGTTTCGTAGACTCTTGGTAAATGTGTTAAATAAGTGAATGAATATTCAATGAGTAATTATTAATACACATGTCAGGATGCTCCTCTTCTCAACATCAGAGTATTAATTTCTCAATCCACAATCTGAATCAGTTTTCCCAGGACACATCAGAGAAGGATGAGTTCTGTAAGTGGCACTCACCGAAGGTCAAATGTCCCAATGAGGGATGCATATTAATGTTGGCCCAAATAGGTCTGAACAGAGTAATTTTTAACTTTAAGATTCTTGTTTTGAGGAAGATATTGAAATGTAAATACAATTCATTCCTGCAAATCTGGAATGCCTAAGCTTCCATCCAAGTTTGGATTTCTTCAACAGGTTACTCAAACATTGGAACTTTCTTTTTCATCCTGACACTTCCTCCTCATAACAACTTTGTCTGAAAGGAATGTGCACCATTCTTCATTCTCTGGTGACTGTTCTGTTAATATACAGAACGAAGCAAATAACCAGACGACTGGTTTGAAAAGCAAACCAAAAAAGATTTAGGGACTTGGGAACCATCTGAATTCAAGTAACATGTTAAGCCCATTTGCTTCATTACTCTCCAGTAAAAAAGGTGAAAACAAGAGTTGTGGAGGTGAGCGTGGGTGGTAGGTACAATCAGCTCTAATGGCCTACATTAGTGGTTCTCAAAGTGTGGTCTGGGAATCTACTCTTTCAGAGGATCTGCAAGGCCAAAGCTATTGTCATTAAAAGTTAGGTGACATATGTAAAATTAACATTATTTTGTCAAACTCTTTGTCTCACAGGTGGTTTTCCAGGTCACATGACAGGCAATGTCACAAGAGACTAAATGCAGAAGCAGACATGAGAATCTAGCTGTCTTCAATTAAGCCAAACATTACAGGGATTTGCGAAAATGTAAAACAATGCAACTCTCCTCATTAAATACTTTTTTGTTTTGGAAAAGTTGTTTTCCAATTTAGAGTCTATATATATGAAAATGTAAAACAATGCAACTCTCCTCATTAAATACTTTTTTTTGGAAAAGTTGTTTTCCACTTTAGAGTCTATATATATGAAAACCTAATATGCAAATTGTCTCCTCAGGAGTTCAACCAACTGGGAGTTCGATCACTCGCTATGATGTGTGCTGACCACCAAGGGGTGGCGCACAACGAAGGCAGGCCCAGCCGGCAGCTGGTAGCTGGGGGAAGGCCCTGGCCGGCAGCTGGCAGCCACTAGGGACTCTACCCATGCATGAATTTCCTGCACTGGGCCTCTAGTATCCTAATAAAAGGGTAATATGCAAATTAACCATCACTCTGTCACAAAGATGGTGGCACCCATAGCCCTAAGATGGTGGTGCCCAGTCCTCTCAGCCCCACCGGAGTCCCAGGGGGCGGCCGCTGAGAGCAGGCAGCATGAGTGGCCTGGCGGAATGCTTGCTGTATAAACAGTTCACCTTCTGTTAGCATTATGAGACCAGTACCCGTTACAGTCCCTAGTGCTGTGATGGAAGGCATTCTGCTGCCTTGCTTGATGCACAGCCTTCAGTACTACTCAATCCACACTAAACTAGTAACTAGCAGGGGTCTCTCACTAAAGTTCAGGGCTTTTCCAGTAAATACCCTCCCCACTTCTCCCAAGTACAAGTCCACCTATTTGTAAGCCCAAACTCCACTGTCATGAATCAACCCCGCAGTCAGTGGGATGTTTTAGTAAAGAGTAAACCTTACTTTGTAATCTACGTAAAACAAACTTTTTGTTAACATGGTGTTAAAATGGCTAGACAAATTTTCACTGCATTCAATGGGCATGCTTAGGATGGTCTGTATTAAAAGTTAGGTGGCATATGTAAAAATCACTTTGGGACTACATGAAAAAGATAGGGATTCATCCTCCAGCTGAAATTGAGGATTTTTTTTTTTAACCAAACTTTAGAGGGCATTTCGGGATGATTGACCAGAAACACAGGATATGGCATGTATAAAATTCTCTTAGGGGTTCCTGGGGTAGGAAGGCAGAGCAAAGATAATATCCATCCAGAGCATTTGAAACTGAAGTATGAGATCTACATTACAAGTGACTGGAACATGCCATATATATTAAAATGTGAGAGACAGAGAAGACAAATACTAGTTTCAAATATTACATCCCCTCGCTCCAAGTGAAGCAGCCCATTCCAAGCTGCTTCTTCCATGAGAGACGTCATGTAACATGCCTCAGGATGACCACCACCAGCAGGGTTTGCTTAGTGATGGCTAATGATTCTCTCGAACAACACAGGGTAGGCCAGCTAGTTTATTCATATTAAATCTAAACTCTGGATCTCTGGCTTAATAACATAAGAAACCTGTAAAGACAATAAGTTTTGCATTAAATCAGAGATGGCTTAAATCAGTCATAGAAGTTCTAATATTCTGAGCTGGCAATTACTGCATAACAAATGTTCAGTCCAGTTACAAAACCACATTTCACTTCCTTGGCCACAAAATCTTTCACAGATTTGAAAAATGCTTTTACCATGTACCCACTGCTACCAGTCACGTAATTATAGTTTCTTCATCCCCCAGGAACATCACTAAGTGAAAGGACTTTTTCTTTCATCAGTTTGTAGGTATGTAAGAACTCTGAGAGTAAGTTTAAAGAATGAATATGAACTGAGATGCCAAGTAAAGTTTTTATTGCAAGCACAGTGAGCAGGAGGTGTCTTCTCACACAAAGTGGCTGCCAGGTCTGCCTTTAACTACATCTGTCTGACAGCCCTTCATTGGTTTAAAGCATATTAGTTGGTTCTTGCTATCAGGTGTACATCATTTCTGCCATGTGGGACATTTTCTTGGGAATATACAAGTAATATTCCATGTAGCCTGACAGGTCCTCAATGGTCACATCATCCACATAGACTCGAGCTTGCTCAGAACAGGAGCGCGGGGAGCCAGACAGAGTTCTGGTGTGAAGCGACTGAGAGTAGTCCTCAAGCGTGGATCTTCGTTCTGGGGCCAAGGGAGGGACATTCTGCAAGCCTGAAAAGGAATACACCTCCATATCATGCCACCTCTTACACTGGCACTCCTTGCCTAGGCATGCACATGGCTGGCCCTGGTTTAGCTTGGAAACAGATTGAAAGTCAGAGAGTTCATTGGCCTTGAGACTTGCTTGGGAGACTTGAGTAGCATCAGAGGAGTCTTCCTTCTTACTCTCTGACGGCAGCCTTGGAACCGAAGTTCTCAAAGGCTCAACAACTGCCCCTGTGTGATTAGTATCGAGAGAAGTAGAGCATTCTCCTGCATTGAAGTCTTTAGGGGTTGAAATTCCCAGCCCACTGCTGCCATCAGGGGAGTCAGTCTGGCCTTTGTGCTTGAGCTGGCTGCTGGAAGAAGATGCTATTGTACTGCAATGTATAAACTTTGGGGGATGAAGGACAGGAGATTTAGATCGTCGACGACGTTGGGTTCTCATTGCTCCTCGTGAAGACTTCCGTGTAGAGCTAAGAGGAAAAAAAATGTACAAGATGTTGGGATACAGAGCTCTCCTAAATAAATGCTTTAGGACAGTTGGAAATCTGCCCCCTCTCAGACTTATGAGTCTAAGAGGTCATAAGTTTCCCCCAAAGGGATGTGCCCACCTCCCTTTTAATCTGCCTATGTCTCTGTGTCTCAAAAACGTCAACATCTCCATATTAGCCAGTTATAAAAACAGGAGAGGTAAAGGGTAGTTTTTACCTGCATTTCTTGAGCCAAACATTTAGTGCAGAACACCGACCCTGTCCCAACCCTTGGCTCAGGAACCTGTGACCCAACGGGTTTAGAGAAGCACCCTGCACAGACAACTGTAGGGTGTAAAAACTAAATGTTTCTATGCCTTGAATTCAGCAGCTTCAGTATTACTGTGAGGCTAATGCTACAAATGGCCATTATGGCATGATCTCTAAACAGAGCAGCAGGTTTAGGGTTCATTTCTATCACTGATTAACAGCTGACAGATTTAGACTCCTGAAGTTTTCAGATATTGGGACATATTAGATAAACTACATAACTTAAAAAAAAATATTGAATAAACAAAAGAACCAAGCAAAGCAAAAAGAAGACAAAATTGCCAAGCAAGTTTGAAAACAGAACCAAATAGAACTTTAAGAAATAAACTTCATATTTGAAATTAAACTAAATGGATGGGCTAAGCAGAATACATACAGTTAGGGAAAGAAATACTAAACTAGAAGATATATCTAAATTATTTATAACAGGGGTCAGCGAATTACAGCCTGTGGGCCATAGAGACCAGGCTGAGGTGCCCCCCCCGCCCCCTTGGCCATTCTCCCCGTCACTCCCCATGCCTGCCTTCCCGGCCAAAAGACATCAGACATGCCACACCTCTGCTTAGGGTCCATGCTGACTACTATTTACATGTTAGGGCTCTGCTGTCGGCAATCACTGGGCACTGAGAAGCAGAATCTCAGTTTGAGTGTCTGGCCTGTGCCAGGCTCTCTATGGAAGAGAGAAATACTTACTAGAATCTGAGTACCACTAGGGCAGGAGGTAAAACTGACCCTGGCATTGCCCCCAACCCAGCCATCCCACAAGTCTAGTCATTTCATCCTGAGATTCTCAGCAGCAGAACACAAAGTGTGTCCACCAGCCAAGATAGCCCACATCAGGCAGGTAGGGCAGGAGTTTTCTCACTTATGTAAGTACCTACATAATATCCTCAGATCTCACTTCTCGCCTGCCAAAACCTAAAATATTTGCTATTTGGCCCTTTACAAAAAAAAAGTTTGCTGACCCCTGACCAAGAAGGCAGCACAGAGACATGGAGAGCTGGAAAAAAGTAACAGTTAAGAGATGTAAGACTAAGAAATCTGGAGTCTCTGAAAGAAAGACTATAGAAAAGGAAAGAGAGTGATTTTTAAAGAGATAACAGCTGGTAAATTTTTTAAATTGATGAAAGGGAACCTATAGATATAGAAAGCACACTGAAGCAAATGACAGATACACTGGAGCAAACTATAGAATACCAAACCCAACAGGAACTGCTGAAGAGCTGCCTGAGACTAGACAGATTATTTCCAAAAGAACAATTAGATGAAAAGAAGGCTTTTCAATGTCAACATGGAAGCCAGAAGACAACAACTAAGAGAAAATAACTATCAAATCTAGAATATGATTTTAAGTATATATCAACTCAGGTATATCTTCAAAGAACAAGAATTAAATAAAGCCATTTTCAGATAAATCAAAACAAAATATATTTACCAATAGAACATGATGTTATACAACTCCAGAGGCATTAAATTTATTCTATATGGAGTTCTATAACACAGAGGCCCTATTTGCCAATAAGACCTTCACTAAAGGAACCTCTGAAGAAAGTACTTTAGGAAGAAAAAAAGTGATCCTATGGAAGGTGTGAGATGCAAGAATGGTAAGAGCAAATAAAGTGTAAATGAGATAAATCTAAATAAACACTGTCTATTTAAATAATAATGAAGGTAAATAAAACCTAATTTGTAAGTCTAAAAAGTGATAGAACTAAAATACTGGGCAACTAGATCATGGAAGTCAGATCAGAGTAAATGGGTTTTAAGAAAAAGGGTTCAAATACTAACTTTTGTCTTTGTTAATAAGCATGTATGGTAAAATTTCAAGGCTAACTACTAAAATAATAGAAACAAAGTATACAATCTCCAAACCAATAGAAGGGAAAATGGTAGGGGGAAAAACAAACCCATTTCAAATAATTTTTTTAAAGATGAGAAAAGGAAATTTAAAAAAGGACAACAAATAGCATAAAGTAAAATCTATGTAAATGAGTTTAAGCAGTTAAAAAATTATCAGATTAAATAAAACAAGTCATATATATTTGTGAGACACACCTAAAAGTTTAAAACACAGAATGATTGAAAATACTAGAAAAAGATACACTAGGCAAATACTAACTAAAAGACAACTGTATTAGCTCTATTAATTCCAGACAAAATAGACTTTAAGACAAAAGCCATTATGAGGGATTAAGAATGTCACTATATGATAAGTCTCAATTCACCACAAAGAAAACATTCTAAACTGTCACAAATGTAGGCTGTATGATCCTACAAAATAGCCTCAGAATACATAAAGCAAAAATATAGAGCGTAAAGGGAAACCAGACAAATGGATTCCCATAGAGATTTCAACATACTTCTCAATAATTGATAAGTCAAGCTGACAAAAAAATTATTTTAAAAATTCAAACAACACTGTCTATTTTAAATAATAATTAAAAGCTTAATTTAATGGACATACATGGAACTCAAGAATGATTAGAGAAAAACTCATTCTTCTCAAACAACATAGAACATTTATAGAAATTGACTATGTATCAGAACATAGAGCCAATCTCAGCACATCCATAATTGGGAAGAATGGGTCTTCTCTAAACATTGAGTCTTGGGTTCCATATCATACATACCCATTTCTGGATACATGGGAAAGAAAATCCAGTAATATTTTAAGGTACTGAGTTAAAAATCATCTGCAAGAGGCAGCTCTTACCCATGCCAACTGTCTTTAGATGCACATGTGGTTTTAGGTTTGGTATCGTCTGCTGCTGTTCTGACTGATGCTCTGACACATGGGCCTTCTCCAACAGACAGAGATGCTATGGACCTAAAGAAAATAAACAAAATTTACAGCTACAGCACTTATTGTTCTCACCAACCCAAGCAAAACTTGTTTTCTTTCTAGTTTGAGTTTCTCAAAAATTATGCAGCTTTTAGTGCAAATTTTCCTTTGGAACCAAATTTAGAGGATCCCTAAAAAGCCCACTGTTGCAAAATCACAAGCGAAAGAATGATTCTTAAGTATAGCCAGCAGCAGGATAAAAATAGGCTTTAGGCTGTTTATCTGGGGCAGATCAGGCCTTATGTCCAGGGAGAATGCTAATGACACTGACCATTTATTTTATGTGTGCAACCAGAGCTGGAAACTAAGTTTAGGAGCAAAAGCTTTAGGAGACTCAATCTAACTTGAAAAGGAATACATTTTCAAATATTATACAACTTTTAGAAAAATATTCTAATTTTTACAACTAATAAACTTGAAATATTTACTGAGTTAAATCTTGGCAGTTTGAAATTACACAAGTAATATGGGTTTCCAGTAAAGAAGATGAAAAAATGTAAAAGAGAGAAAAAATAATTATCTGTAATCTCACAACCTGGAGATTAGCAACATTAACATTTTAGTATGAATCCTTTCAGACCTTTTCAACACACACACACACACACACACACACACACACACACACACGGCTCCTACCTCACATGTTGTGGTACTGATAAAAACCCTTTCGAAATATAAAACCTACTAAAGTAAAATAAAAAGATGTCCACTGAAATATAATTAAAAATAAAAAGTACTGGGAATAACTTAAATATCCAATAACAGAAAATACTGCATTATATGAATTACGGCAGATCTATGCGATGGAGTATTAGAAATGTATTAAAAATTAAGTGTATAAAGACCTTTTAATAACATGAGAGAATGCTCATAATATTAAGAGGAAACAGCAGGGATAAGCACCTATACATACATTATGATCTCAACTGTGTACAAAAAGTATATGGTGTTATATATAGCCTATATATTAACAGTGATTATGTGATGTTTACTTCCTTTTTTATTTTTGTGAAGTTGTCTATAATATGTATTATTTTATAGTCAGATAAAAAGGATTATGTTGTTTTATAATAAATATATAGAGATTTGTCTTGATAAGACAAATAACACTAGAAATCAAAACCTGCTTAACAGGATCATGCTAAATTCCAGGCAAGGCTTGGTTAGTTTATGAGTCAGTACCTCAGATGTCCCATTTGTAAGTCAGCAACAATATGAAACAACTAAAGATGTATGATACATTATACAAGTCTTATTCTGCTTACTCATGGTAATGACTCACCCCTTCTACTCTTATTTGTTCAGTTTTCTCAAATGCTCTTCACTGCTACTTCTCTTTCTATAATTGTACTCAAAGCAGATCACATGCTACAAATATATAATATTTGGTCATATATTATACAGATATTTTGAAAGGTTTTTTTAATGTTCCAAGTAATTTTTAAGAGTAGTGAAACAGCTTAATTTTATGCTCCAACTTCTTTTTTTAAAAAAATGTATTTTTATTGATTTCAGAGAGGAAGGGAGAGGGAGAGATAGAAACATCAATGATGAGAGAGAATCATTGATCCACTGCCTCCTGCACATCCCCTACTGGGGATGGAGCCCACAATCTGGGCATGTGCCCTTGACCAGACTGGAACCCGGGACCCTTCAGTCTGCAAGCCAGCGCTCTATCAACTGAGCCAAATCAGCTAGGACCCAACTTCTTAAAATACCAGGAAAAGAATCTGTATATCAAGAGTTATTTATATAAATGTATATACTAAGAAATTTTGTATGTATACATATATATATGCAGCATTCCTAGTATTTTCCTGCTTTAAACATTTTTTTTTTTACTGTACCCAAAATCATGAAAGCATACACTATGACCACAATCTGGAACTGTTTGTCTGCTTTGTTTCCATTTCCCAAAATGGCTTATAAAGTGCCAATCAACTTTCATGGCAAAATGACCACAATATTGAGAAAACCACTGGGAAGAGAGAGATACTTATTTGAAGTATCATGGAAGCAAATGTGAGCACCTGTAACAGCTATTACACAATTAGTATATTTAGCATAAATCAGTCTATTAGTACAAATCTCATTTGGTAGGCCAAAATAGTGTTAGCAATAAGCAGACAGCTATAACATCTATTTAATTTTTACTATCTGCCAGGTACTGCATGCATTTCTTCAAGTTGTCTTCAAGGTACCATATAAAGGAATGGTTAAGAGCACAGGTTCTGGAGACAAACTGTCTAGGTCTCTTACCGATGTGACCTTTAAGAAGTAGCTTAATTCATCTGTGGCTTGTCTGTAAACTGGAATAACAGTAATAACTATCTTCTAAGTTGGTAGTGAGGACTAAATAATGTATGTAAAGTACTCAGGCTAGTGTCCAAGACATAGTGATATAATTTTTAGTGATTATTATTATTACTTGTTGTGGAGTTTTGTACTCTGAGTTTCCAGTGTTTGGTTTCCATTCATGAAAATAAATATTCTTATATCCATTAAAAATCTGAGGTTTCTTCTGGCCTGGGGCAAAGAATGGGGATGAGAAGAATACTACACAAAACATTTTGCAAAGGGTGAAATTTTAACATTCAGACAGCAGCTGGTCTGTAGGTGCTCTAATTATTTTGGCCAAAGGGTCCAAGATTATTGATCTCTGTGACAGAACCCTAATGAATAGGTTTCCATAGTGATAGTCTCAGCAATAGAGCCCATGAAATCGACAATGTCTGCAGAGATTTCTATTGAGGTAATTCACTTTTAGTGAAAAATACTGTGATTCCCTAGAGATATACGAGAAAATCCTTAATGGGACACCGCTTGATAATGTTTGATTAAAAAGAGAGGGGGAAAGCACTCCTCAAAGTTAAGGAAAATCAAACCACGGAACCTTGGAGTACAAATGAACTACAACTTTTCAAAATTTAACAGAAGACTTTCTTTTACAAGAAATACAATGCTGTGCAGATTTGGTAGAATGTCACATTATTAACATTTATATCTTCTACAAATAATGAGAAATTTTAGTAGAGAAAAAGCTCTTCAGAAAAAAGGCTATTTAAGTCTAGTGAATAATTCCCAAATAACATATTATATATATAATTACCCTGACGCATCCACTCTTAATTTCTTGAAAGCAGTTTGTAGACTCTCCTCCTCTCCATCCTTGGCTTCGGATTTCATTGTGAAACTTTTTACACTACTATGATGTTCCCGCTTATACTAAAAAAGAAAATCAAAATAAAATGAGCACAGTGACAACAGGTGGGTTCAGAAGTATATATTTTGTTAAAATCTTTATTCCTGATACTATTACTGTTTGTTAGAGGAGAAGGGAACAAATTTCTATTTCTAAAAAGAAGTTTCAGTGTAGATGATTTCTTGAATTTATTAAGATAGAATTTAAAATGCCCAAATACTTGATGCCAATATCCTATTACACAGTTTTGGAAACAATATCACCTAAAATCTGTTTAAATATACTTTTTTAAAGGGAGGAAAATCTCTCCATTTGTAGAGGTCTAGAAACCTATAGACAAAATAACCTTTGCATCAGAAATAAAAGGGAAAAGCCAAACGAATAGCATTCTGATTCTTTAAAATACTACTATTCATCTAGTCTAATCCTAAAAATTCTAGTTAAGTATAACTTCATGATACATGGCAGCATTTCTCTAAAGCAATCCTGAATATCATTATTCATATAAATATTCATATCCAGATATCAAACTGGATATGAATATCAAAGCAGAATTACAAACATGTTTACTGATTATTCCAGTTAACCTATAAGGTTGATACCTTCATTTTTTTAAATAGCTTTGAATATTTTATTATAAAAGATAAAAAATGAATTATACTTACAATTCAAAAAAAATATAAAGAACTTAGCCCCCCAAAAAAGAGGTAGGAAGAAAAAAGAGAAATTACTGTTCTATAGATGAACATTTAAGTGATGTTCAATTTTTTAAAGCCAAAAAATAAAAAACAAATAATCAAGTTTTTTCTTTCCACCCTGATTATTACATTTAAACAAAGAAAAGGGAAAGGGGAACCAACCAAAGCAACAAGAAACACCACTGAGGTATGTTAATAAATTCTTTGAATCTAGTTTCCCAATTATTTTTTCACTTGGTAAAAGATACTAGTTATTTTTTCAACTAGTATCTATAATGTCACAGAGAATCTGAAAAACATTAAAACAAACAAACAAAAAAAAAACAGAAGATGGGGAATTTTTGAAGCGAAGGAGTCACTCTACCTCTTCTTTCTTTATTCCTAACCTGCTTGCTACCCCTAACCCTCCCTCCCCCCACCCCCCGGGGGACTCCCAGAGAGCAGTGCCTCTCTGTAGAGCCCTGGATCCTCTGAGTCCCTCTCTGCTCATTTCTCAGGGTGGGCTTGATGCATTGTGAGACCTCCAATATTCCAAAGGTCAGAGTGTGTTGTAATATGTTAGATACAATGTGACCATGTAGTACCAATGAAGCAAGGAATCAAGACGACTCGTTTCCTTTTTTATTTACGTAGAGGAAGATATTTTAGTCAGCTCTCTCCAGGGAATGAAACATTTAACACTGAAAACAGTCTCAAAAGAACTCAGCTAGCTTTCACCTCAACTTCTCAAGACAAAAAATTTAAATACACTCCCACATATATTCTGCTGGTTTATTTAACCAGTGTATGAACATTATCAATTCTATACTTCACTGGTTTCTAATCTTCTAGATGTAGAGGACCCCCCCCCCCACACACACACAATAATGTCCTACATACCTAGGAAGAGGGGTGAGCAAAGATCACATTCTAATAATTTTAAAGCCCACCGCATCTGAAAGAGTGCTATCGTAGGTTGTAAACAAATTCATCCTGCGGGCAGAACTACAGTAAAGTTTGACTTACAGTTTTCCTCAATTACTTTATAACCAGTCAGTCAAATGCTCACTCGGAGGAGTGGCCTTTATAGAGTTAAGTCATCTGAGCCGAGTCTCCCCAACCCTGCAGACCCCACACTAACCCTCTCCCGCCTCTCTGGAAATCAGTACATCACTTCTAAATGTACACTGCTGAATTCTGTAGGCGGAAGTTCTCTTCCCCCACAAATACAGAATTCTTACCATGGGTGCAAGCACTAGGCTGGACTAGGGATACACGGGGGGACTTGACACAGACCAGGGCTGGGAAGCCCCTGCCTGGGTTCCTGCCGGAAGACTGTGTTAAGAAGCTCTATACCCAAATATGTAACTTTTAATTATATAGCGCTGATTTAAGAGCACTGCAGGTGACCTCTAAAATCTGGACGTTAACACAAACTTAGTTAACATTCTTGTTGACACACTCAAAGTTAAACACCAAAACAGACCAAAATAAAAACTGGCTGCAGACGAAACGTTTAGGAATGAAGTTCCATCTCAATTATTTTCAGACTTCAGCATTTTTGATTACTCACCTTTTCTCTCGGTTCTATTAACCCTGAGCAAAGGTAAGTGTTCGGCACGATCTTAAGCGCTAAATCAGAGCCTGTGTGTAATTCACAAAAGGCTTATTATGCTCCTCAGTATTCCTACCTTCCTATTCACTCACATCAAGAGCTCTAGGACAAACTCCGGGGAACACAATTCACGTTAAACTTGTGGGAAACTTCCTTGCCGTTTTCACAGCGCTGATTTCTTGAACAATCTCCCAAAAGATCAAACTGTTAAAGGCCTATTCGAAGTTACTTTGTATTGCTTTAAGTCAAATCACACAGGGCAATTTATGCCTCCGATTTCCCCCAACCTTTCAAAAAATGACAAGCAAAATCCTTCTAAGTTCCTCCATCAAAATTTCTGGTTTTCCCTGACTTTCAACGAATAGCATGTGTCACAATCTTATTTCTATCTTGCCGTTTTCACCAAGACCTCTTTCAACCTCGAGCCTAGGAGAGACCTGGGGAAGAATAAACGATCCGCGCGTCAGCGCGTCATCACAATGTTCAAGATTTAGGAACTTCCCCGGCCCCCCGGAAGCAAGCGCGGAGTCGGGGAAAGAAAGCCCCGTCCAGGGAGTCTCTAAGTCGCCAACAAGACGAGGTTGAAACCATCGGCTCCCCCGAGATGAAACACAGTCACACCTCTCTCTCCACACCCACTTCAACCCCGACACGCGCTCTTCTTGCTAGAGCCAGAGCACAATGTTGTTCTTTTCACCCAGAATCTGGAGGGGTCGCAGTTGGGAAGGATCGGGAGAAAAGGTCAGAGCCCAGCGGGGCTCGGAGAGCGGGGAGTTGTCCAGGAACCCCCAGGTCTGGCCGCCTGGGGTCTCCTGCTGGGAGGCGGCCCCTGCAGGACACTCCCCCGTCCAGAATGAGAGATTTCAGTTGGGCGAAGGCGCCCGGGATGCAGGAGGAGGCAAAGAGTAGGCAAAGAGGCAGCCAACGAGACTGGGGCTCAGAAACGAGCGGGAAAGGGCGGGAAGGGGCAAAGGGCGGCCGAGGAGAGTGAAAAGGGGAAGCTACAGCCCAGCGGGAGAAGGCGGAGGAGCAAGACCGGGCAGGGGCAACGAGAGAACAGGAAGGCGGGAAGGAGCGATAGAGCGGAGCTGGGCAGGGCCAGGCCGCAGCAGCCGAG